CCCCAAAACCCCAAAACCCCAAAACCCCATTCTTTTAAAATAATATTGAAATACAATTAAACCAAAATTTCAGAAATGGAAAATTCATCACAGATCAGAAATGAATCTGAGGTTTCAGTAACTCTCCTCGAGAAGAGATGCTTTTAGACTAAGAAGGTTAAGTTTTATATCTGAGCTACTCTTTCAGCTTTCTTCTTCGGCACTAAGATGGTCTGAGTCAGCGCAAGTAGTATCAATAGTTTTTGGGTGTACTTTATCGAACACATTGCTATCCTACTCACAAGTCTTGGAGCATACCTTGTTTACAGGCTTTTTTATGTACAAGAAAGCCATAAAGACTCCTTAACCAGAGTTTGGAATAACCCAAGATCCCTAGTATGTTGAATCCTGAGTGGCATAGGAGACACTAGCGGCAATTTACTGATTATCTTCTCACTAATGCTTGCTATGTCTGCAAAGGTAAGTCCTTCCTCTGTCAGTTGATTACTAATGTCCAACAATATTGCCATGCTGTTAATAGGAATCTATGTGTTTCATGAGAAGCATACATTACTGGAGTATTTTGGTGCATTTTGTATATTCTGAGCATGTATCGTAATCACACTCCAAAAAGGCTTTAATAATGATGGAGTCGTACAACTTAGCAGCATTGAGTTCTACCTATCAATCTTCCTGGCTCTAATATGAGCAATAGCATGGGGGATGGTAGGATTTGCAGCCAAATGGGCATCCTATTTCTATGAAGTAGAGCCTGATGAATATGCTATCCTTGCAATGACAATCTCAGGAATAATTGGAATCTGATCGATCTTCTTTATATATCCTCTGGGCATTGAAATCGAGCCAAAAGATGATGAAAAGCTGTGGTTTTATATCCTCTCAGCACTTGGAGCAGGCTTTTTTACAACTTTTGGGGTATTTACAGGTATCTTCGCACTTCACAATGGAAGTGTTGAAGTGACAAGCCTTTTTGCAAATATGAGAGTAATCCCACAAATTATTGAAGAGTATCTCCTGTTCGGGATAATTCCCTCTATCTTTAGTAGTATAGGAATTTTAATAGCGCTTTTTGGTTGAGTTCTCATGGTCTTTTCAGACACCAATACAGAATCAAAAAGTGAAATTATTGAGTTGACGGAAAAATCAGATAAAATTTCAAGCTAAGACCACTTAGATGGGGTTTTGGGGTTTTGGGGTTTTGGGG